ATATCCTATAAACTTATCCACAGGTTTTATCCAGCAAAACATTGTTTGCAAAAAAATTAAAAGTAAGATTGATGTAAATTGTATTTTTGTAATGAATATGAGGAGACGGTTTACACTTTTTTTGGCATTGTACATAGCTTATAGACCTTTTTCTTGGAACGCAAAATTACCCATTATGCTTTGCGTGTATGCGCAAGGAGAATGCGAAGAACTTCCGGACGGCAGCTGATGCATGTAAACAGTCACATTTGGACAGCTTTGAAACAATCGTTTTAATCTATTTTACCTGCTTTTATCCTCTTTGAACTATTACTGTTGTCCATCAGCACCATCTCCTGGACTGATCATTTAAAGAAATGCGATCTCATAGGATGGAAAACAGCTGCTGTGAGGCGTTTTCCCCTCGTTGTCAGACGGCATCTTCTGCCGTTTAAATTAAGTCTTGTCATTGGTAAAGTCAACATTTTCTCTTTATTTCAAATATATAACCAGCCCAAACAAATGTAATTCACCAAAATGTTTGACACACACACGAAAATATAGGCTAGTGTCATTTCAAAATGACAGAAAAACACAAACCGTGGTAAAAACAACACACGAAATAAAACACAAACGGCTCGCAATTAGAATGAACAGCAAATCAGCCAGCAGAGGATCAATAATAGACTTTTATTGGTCATTTTTGTAAATTGCACGACTTTCATACCTGTTAAGTTTCATACCAGTACTCTGGTTTTCTCTCTCTCTCTCTCTCTCTCTCTCTCTCTGCGCTGAGCTAACAGCTGACAGGCCGGGAACGCACAAACACACTATTTCTGACGGCAAACACGTGAACTACAATAGGAGAACGTTTTTCTCGTATTTCTTTATATTATAACGGCTTTAACAGATACATTTCTAAGTTGTGTGTCACAAAAACGCTCTGTTATCCATTAAAAACGTTATTAAAACCCATTTTCGGAGCGCAAATTACCAGTAGTACACGCTGTAAACGGAAGTTTTTCGCATTCTACCGGAAGACGCTGGTCGCTATGGCGCCCTCCATGCAGCAGCCATGAAAAAGGTCTATAGGGTGAGGTGCAAAATGTATTAATAACGATTCTTTTGTGTTCAAAACCTCTTTCATCATTATGGAAAAATGTACATTTGGGCTTTACTTGATTATCCTAATCTAGAGGAAAATAGTTTTATTTATTTCATTTGCTTATGTTGTTACAAAACTGTACATTCATAAATGTAAATTTACTATTAAGAAACTAGATTTTAAGGTATTGATGACTGAAATATGCTTGTATAATACCAGTATCAACTCTCTAAACGAAAGCCCGACCCACTCTACAATGTATTTCATTATTACATATGTTATATTACATTTTGTATATTTGAATTTTATTTATAATTACCCCCTTGCATGTATGTTTTTGTTTCGTAAAATGTTATTTGCTGTTCTTCAAATAAATAATAAAATTGAATATTATCCACGAGTAGGAGCTAACGTGTTTCCAGACTTGAGAAAACCTCACGCGCATTAAACAACCTGTAATGAATGGGGCTCCCGCATTGCCCGATAGCAACTCGCCTTTACAACTAACTCGCCATTCACTATATCTGACTCTGAATAAAAAGGAAGGAAGGGGTTAGCACAGTTTACAGAAAGGACAACTGACATAAAACTCATCCTGCTGGATGTTAAATAGCCAGGTTATCTTGCTTACGAATGGCTTGAATGAGCAGATCTTATGCTGTTGGCTGTGCACCTTGCTGGAACCTGACGTTGCAAACGCTGTAAGACACGTTTTCTGCACAAATTCTGCAAATCGGTATCATCTTTTAAATGCTGTTTTATTTAGGCAGTTTTACACATTCACCGAACAACATCTTCCTGTCCAAATTATAGCAAAGTTGACTGTGAGAAAGTCATCCGCTGTCCCGAGGCTGTCATGTCTCTGCGACTCCTATAGCGAACCCGGAATTATCGATACACTGCTTCGAAGGGCGCTTCCGGTGTTCAATTCCGCTGTGAAAAAGGTCTATTATTCAGAGGATGGTGTTTAGTTACATCATTTAATTGAAAGGATGACGTCTGATGTTTCCCCATTCTAATAGATAGGCACTTGCACTTGCAAAGATGGCTGCCAAATTAAATGCATTTATTCATTCATTCATTCATTTCTTGTCGGCTTAGTCCCTTTATTAATCCGAGGTCGCCACAGCATAATGAACCGGCAACTTATCCAGCATGTTTTTGACGCAGTGGATGCCCTTCCAGCTGCAACCCATCTCTAGGAAACATCCACACACACACACTCATTCAAACACACACACACTCATACACTACGGACAATTTAGAATACCTAATTCACCTGTACCGCATGTATTTGGACTGTAGGGGAAACCGAAGCACCCGGAGGAAATCCACACGAAAGCAGGGAGAACATGCAAACTCAATACAGAAACGCCAACTGAGCCGAGGCTCGAACCAGTTACCTTCTTGCTGTGAGGCGACAGCTCTACCTACAGCGTCACTGTGTCGCCCCAAATTAAATTACTTGCCTTAAAGGAACTTTGGTAAGACACACCTCAAATTCAAGCCGATGCCACACAAGCATTTCTGGCATGTTTAAAAATAATTGCAAGCTTGTGAGCTACTTGGCTCGTCTCCTATATTCCTCTCACTTGGTACAAGCCATGACCATGCAAGCATCAGCAACCATGCAGCTACTCCCAATAGAATAAAATCACACCAGGAATGCCCACCTTTAGACTGGCAACATACACACCATCATAAGCATCCAAAGTATCTTCAAAACAAAGACAACTATATGGAAATAAGTACAACATATATAGTTTTAAAGCCCAATACATATTTATAAGATTTTAAAGGTTAAATGGGACAAAAAAAAAAAACATCATCTGATTCACCTTTTCACATTCATATTTTTGTGCCCTTTATATTCATATTTGCACCTGTCACAATTTTATAAACATATATGTAACCTATTGTAAGGTTATAAGCACATAATATGAATCAGATGATTGTGCTATCAGTATCATATGTAAAGATGGGTGCTAGTGGAAGTAGTGCTGCTAGGCCTGTACATATTTCTGTGTTAAAAGTTCCAAGTGTATTGTACAGTCAACTTTTGTATAGTAATGTTAGTCATCATTTTAACACCAGGCATGCATTAAAAGGACATTTTTTGCTTCCCATTTCAAAAACTAATGCAAAGCAACGTACCGTGATGTATAGAGGAATGAAAATATGGAATGATTTGCCATCAGACATTACATGCTTTGTAACAAGTAAAATGAGGTTTAAAAAATCATTTAAAAAATATTTAATGGAACAATATTAAGTGGATTGTTGATTTGGATGTTATGTATGAATTTTGTATTTTAATGTTTTTATTAGTCTTTGTTGTTGTGTATTAATGTAATTTTGTGTTGTTCGATGGACCCCAGGAAGAATAGCCACTACCTTGGTAGTGGCTAATTGGGATCTTGATAAATAAATACAAATAAAAAATATGCTACATTTTTTGTATAATAATATAAATATAATATAAAAAAATAAAGTAAATAAAAAAACACAAATGTGTGTATTTTTATTTTTAAGCTGCCATCGTCGAGAGCAGCAGTTGAGTTCGCATCAGGGGCGGACTGGCCATCTGGCAGAGCGAGCAGTTTCTCGCTGGGCCGACGTACTTTTTGGACCAGGCTGATCATCTTCTTATGATCTGATCAGCCAATAAAATATAGCAGTCTATTGTATTTTTTATGCCTAATTATTGCTGATGCTGTGATCTGTGATGCTTTGAAAGCAAGGTGCTTTTTTCAGACAGACTGGCCCATGTGACAATCTGCAGCCCATTGGTTCTTTTCTGTATTGACATACACTCTTTGTGAGCTTGCAATATCGGTTTGTATTTGTCAAAATTGAGTCAAAGAGTTGAAGAAGAAGCACAAGGGAGGTTCAGAGAAATTGCAAGAAACACACTGTTTTCCGTCCACACTACACCGCTAAAAACGCACATCATGAGAACACACATACACACACACACACTCTATGCGCTGCAGCCAGACAGTGAGTGGGTGCTTTGACTACAAAACCCCAGGTGAGAGCAGTCCACGTCAGAGAGTTGATCAAAGATCTGCTGAATCTTTTCTCACTATAGTCGTTAAACGTGATATTTAATTCATCTTGTTGTCTCTATGACTCTTTGGTCTTTTGAATCTATTAGCTACTTGTCAGGTAACTCGTTTTGGCAAGATAAGTTAATATATGTAACCACGTACAGTGATCCTTCATTGTATAAATTTATTGTATGTCAATCTTTTGATTATTGAGTATTGATTATTAAAACATATTCAACAAAAGAGACCGGGTATATTTTATATTTTTCAAAGAAAATGAAAGGAGGCAGTGATGTTATAGGCTCTGTTTTGTTATAAATATGCATAAACAGTGAAGACAACGGTAATGTAAATATGTAGCTACAAGACGTCTCAACATTTCTGCTGGTTATTAAGTTGTAATATTGAAATGAAAATAGGCATTTCTTATCAAATGTTTTCATTTCATTGTTCCATTGTTGTAAAGTAGCCTACACTCTTCTCTTTAAAGATTTACCCATGCGTCAGCAGACAATTTTTGTTGTTTATTATTTAATATAGGCTGAGTGAATTGTTTATTGAATAAGCTAAGTTGGCTATAGTGTGTGTTTGAATAAGTCTGTATGGGTGTTTCCCAGTACTGGCCTGGAAGAGCATCCGCTGCATAAAACATATACTTAATAAGTTGGTGGTTCATTCCGCCGTGGTGACCCCTGATTAATAAAGGGACCTAGCCAAAGGAAAATGAATGAATGAAAAGTATATGTTTATAGAACCTAACAAAAAAAAAAATGCATGGACAGTATACAGAAATTAAATAAAGATCAATGACTGTATTTGTTTATTTATTTATTTATTTCATATATATGGCTTTTGTGCTTTTGTAAAATAGGAGTTGGTAAACATATTCAAGGACGTGCACAGATATGTAGCATTTTGTTTTTATGTAGTGGGCCGATTGTAGAGGGCAGATTTATCGTCCCAGTCCAGCCCTTGTTCGCATCACCGCACCATGGAACAGCCCCCTGCAGAAGACAAAACAAACTGTTTACTCATTTAATTCACTAGATATTAACTTGCTATTACCATGTTAAATCAGAATATTCACCTACCAGGTGGTGTTTGTTCATGGCGAACGTCTCCCTATCATATATTATGACTCCACCCACTCCTTCAGGTTTTTCACAACACTGGACAGAAGTCTAAACATACCAACTGATTTGTTAATGTCATAAAACTGTCAGCTTTATTTCAAACTAACACAAAATAAAGTTTTAATCTAATCTAAGACATTTTTTCCTTGTGTTGAAGATTTTGCTATTTAATCGCAGACAAACATTAATCAGTAAAATAATCTGAGACTAAATTTGATGTAATAAAATCGCTGTGAATAAGAAATAAGTAAAAATAAATAAATCTCTGATTGAATTAAAGGGTTATCTCACCCAAAAATGTCAAATTCCATTATTATCTACTCAACTTCATGCCAAAAAAACTATAAAAACTTTTGTTCAGCTATATTTTCCACATCACACTTAAAACACACGTACAAAGCAGACAACTGTGCACAATTCAATGCTTGTGCATTTGCTGGGACAGTCTTTCATTAATGCTGAAGGTACAGTACAACCAAACACCCCCTATTTCATTAACAGGGAGGAAATGGAAGCATGTAGTGTAAAGCTCCGTCTCTGCTTCTCTCTCACTGTGGACTCTTTGACCTGGTGGAGTGTCTGTGATTAAACAATTTCTTTCCTCTCTCGGTTAAAGCCATACTTGTGAATTTAAGCACCTCTATCAGAGAGAGGTCTATCAGCTGATAGATGTGAATTTCTTCTAAGTGTAAGAGTATCTGTGTAACTGCATTGATCGTCAGAGCCAATCACAGCCCTTTTTTGAGCATGACCAATCACTGGTGTTTAAGATCTGCTGACTCTAAAGACTAGGTCACATCAAGCCAACGGTCAAACACTGGGCTGTGCTACACACATCACTTCTCGTTTAGTTAACATTGGGGCTTGCTGGCCTGATTCAGCACGTAGAATCTGGGCCAGCTGTCGGTTGAAGAGAGCACTTTGACCAGGGCCGGAGCAAGCTGAACTGCCGCTCTAGGCAAAGGACGATTACTTCGCCCTCACCCGAAAGTGAAAACAGAAATGACCGGTTATCAAATTGAAGAGCGGGGGGGTTGGCGTACATGGGGTGCTGGGTCGCGGACATAACTAAGGGTGCGGGTGTTGAGCGAGGTGTCGCGGATGCCGTCCTCTCTATTCTGCCGCCCTGGGCGCGGATATATCTGAGGCGGCGGGTGGTGAGGGAGGTGTCGCGGACATTTATGAGGACGCTGGTGTTAAGGGAGGTGTCGCGGACGCCGCCCTCCCTATTCTGCCGCCCCAGGCGGTCGCCTGGGTCGCCTTTATGGACGCGCCGGCCCTGACTTTGACTGGTTATTTAGCAACGAATCAGAACGCGAGTGTGACCTGGTGTAGTGACATAGCAAGTAAACAATTGAACCAAGAAGGATCACTAAGAGGCCGGCTGTAATTTTGCTAAATTAATCAAATATTTGCAAACAATATGAATTATTAGATTGTCAGACGTATTTACTGGAGCTAATCCCTTTATGGTGAGTAAAAGTTAACAGTTAACATAATGAGAAAACAGATGCCCCCCACTGAGCATAGACACGTCCTCTTGTGCAGGTGTAGGACCTGGTTTTCATTTCAGTTAGCTTTCGCCCATTTGGTGTGTGCACCAAATAAATGTGACAATAAAGTTGGGTTTCGTTGGTGCTAGTTGTTTGGTGTCGGCTTGGTATGTCCTGGCCCTAATGTAGGGGTTTTTCTGCAGGTAATTGTTCATATGATGATGACACAAGAAATATTTTGACAATGTTATTGGTTTCTTTTCTGGACTTGGATGAGGGAGCTTACAGATTTAATCAAAGTTTTTTAATTTGTAACGGGATTAAAACAATTAAAGGGTGAGTAATTAATAATAGAATTTTCGTTTTTGGGTGAACTAATCACATAAAAAAGGAAAGTCTTCTGTGTTTCAAAAGAGAAAAGGGTGAGGATGATGAAATAATTTTAATGTTGATGTGAACTAACTAAATTGACTCATTGGTATGACAGAAAGAAGTGTAATTGTAGTTTATTTTTAATATTTGTCACTTGAATTTTGTTTTACAAAATAAATAAATTGTTGGTTGTGATATAATTGAGATGTTTTAAGGTTTACACAACAGCAGGACTAATAAATCTGCTGTTTAATAAATTAATACATATGTTAATAATGCAGCCATTTCGCTGACTTTCCTGAGAAGTATAAATATGTCTTAAACAAGCACTTTTATAGCAAAGACAAGCACCTTAATCTGATCCACTCGTTTGCGGGGGCAACATAGCTTTGAACCCTGAAAACAAATACAAAAACAAATGTAATCAGCAGGACGCAAAAGCAAAGTGTGATTTTTAATATGGCTAAAAAAAAGTTATTTATGAATTCATTTCTTCATTTTCTTTTCTGCTTCGTCCCTTTATTATTCTGGGGTCGCCACAGTGGAATGAACTGCCAACTTATTCAGCATATGTTTTATGCAGTAGATGCCCTTCCAACTGCAACCCATCACTGGCAAACACTCATACACATTTAAACTACCGACAATTTAGCTTACCCAATTCACCTATAGTGCATGTGTTTGGACTGTGGGGGAAACCAGAAACCCACATTAACACGGGGAGAACATGCAAACTCCACACAGAAATGGCAACTGACCCAGCCGAGGCTCAAACCAGCAACCTTCTTGCTGTGAGGCGAATGTGCTACCCACTGCACCACCGTGCAGCCCTTATTTCGGAATTTAAACTGAATATTTTATCCTGTCCAGAAAACTCAGACTGTTCAAGTAAAAATAAACTGCACACACTTTATTTCTCTATGCATTTAAACCGAATGCTTTGGTCTACCGTGAAAACCCAAATTGAGCTAGTAAAATAAGTACTGTTAATGTTTGCAACAGCGATCCCTATTAGGAATCAGGTCTTGAGGGTTTCTAAGTTCTGACATCCAAACCATAACTTTAACCATCACACCACAAGTTGTACATACAGTAAATCACATAACGTATCGATGCAGCATGTGCAGCAAAGTAATATTCCAAACTAAACGTAATATTGACAAGGCTTCACTAGGCCTTTACGTTATGCTGAGCTCGATGGATAATCAAAAGTAAAAAAAAAAAAAGTAAATGAAGGCAATCAGCAAAATTTGCAGCTAAACAATGACTAAATCTAAAATATTTACAATTTAGTTCTTAAACACGTAACAACATAAAACACAACCGATACAGGAGCCACAGTGCTAACACTAGCATGCGAATAACTTTTGCTAAACCGGGACAAAGTACCGCTGTCATTGTTAAATACAAAATGATCATCTGTAATCGCTCAACAGTATCCATGCTTCAATACGAATAACAAAATCATAAAATGGGAAAAGTTAACCATTTCAAGAGCAAATTTAAATACATACCATGCTTCCTGTCATTTAACAAACAAAACAGCAAAGTACGGTGGCCGAAAGAGCTTAACGTGCTAAATTGCAGCGCGTTAAGCTCTCTCGGCCAGCGTAGCAGTGCGTCATCTAGTGAAAGTCCTACATTGAAAATATATAAGTTTAACAAAAGGGTGACTAGCAAATAAAAATGTATTTTTAAAATTATTATTAAATATTCATATCTTCATGGACATTTTTCAAGGGTTTCTCAGTGAAAGTCGTCATAACCAGGTAAACTTACAGCACAGTCAATAGGAAATTACAACAAATCTTTTTTTTTTTCAATCCTATTTGCTAAAATAAAATAAAAACTCCACTATGGTGTAAGACTTTCAGAAAAAGCAAAAAAAAAAAATAATTTAATAAATAAAAAAATGTGTGAGACCAATAATGGCAACCAAAAAAAGAGAATAACGTCATATTTACTTTCTTGCCCATAAACGATGCATTTCAAATGCCTCGCACAAGCTGTAATTAGTTTTTTTTGTGTGATTTGATATAAAGATGATATAATACATCCGTAAATGCATATAAATGTTAATTTTTTCTTTTTTTATTACAAAATTAAAAACTTTCAAGGATTTAAGACACTCATTACTGTTAAATGCATCAGTCTTGTAAAAAGGATCTATAAGAGCTATATTAAATCACAGATGTATAAATTTAGTTTATAATAAATGCATATATTTCATTGTGACATCTACATATGATAATGAATATCATCAAAACTATTATGTATCTCTTTTTTTCTGGAGAGCATCATCAGACACCACAGATGTTGGTTGTTTATTAGTAATTATAAAGTATGGTCTTATCCTACATCCCTAATACTTACTATTAAATAAAACTATAGTAGTTTCTTGATCTAAAAGTCTTGTTAAATAGTTTGAATAGTGAGGTTTGTACCTTAAAATAGTGACCAGACATTTCCTACTAATATTGTAACAACACAATTACTACATGCCTATTACACATTAATGACATGCCTATTACAAACTTTACAAAGAAATTAATTGCAATAAATCAAATAATTAATGTAATTTAAACAAACTTATCTGTTGCTCGCTGGTCACAATCCAATTACATCTTGTTTTGTCTGTTACAGTCATCAGAAAAGAGTTGCTCTTCTTAAGGTTCAAGCAGGTGTGAGTTGGAGGTGGTTGAATTTAAACTACGCAGAGCTGTGGCGATCCAGAAATTGAGTTTTAGACCATTGCTTATGGTTCGAATAAGAGGGAACTTTCTGTGTGACAAACGGATGAAAAAAAACAGGAATGAAACAGGAAATGAACACAAAGGTTATGTGGTTTCAGAAAGATGGCATACTGTGACAAATCAGTTTTCCCCCGAAACATCACAAATACACATTTGAATACACAATCAGAAACATTTGACCAAACATTTTAAAGAGGACCTCTTCTTTCAGGAGATTCACTGAAGAGTATTGTATTAAATAGTCAAAATAGTGCTTTGTACTAATTACTACTAATTAGGGGGCCCCACGTCGTCGCGATTTTCAATGATTGAAAATCCAGCAACCGCAATAATCAAACTCTTGGGAACAACTGTGGTCGAAACCAAAGTTCACAGAACTGTGTTCTCTGAACTCCTCTCAAGGTGGACTACTTCATTCTGATTGATTGCCGCCGAACCGCGTCATAGCCAATGAAGACCCGCCGATGTTTCTCGCCCCCGGTTCTCGTTAAAAAATGAATGACTTCTGGCTACTTTGACGCTCTCGCCGCTTTCGGTTTGTGGTCGCTCCTCAGTTTGTGAAGGATTCCCCGCGTTGTCGCTCCACCCCGCCTCATTTTCCCACTCCTCAATTTGTGACATAGATATATACACTAGATATCGCATAAGGACCCTGAGCATGCGTCTATAGCGTCGCCACATTGGTACAGTGCTCCCAGGACAAATGTCATTCAACCGCACTAGTCAAGACAGTATTATTACGTGAAGATGCGGGACTTTAGCGCTGTCTACGAGTGTAGTAACGAGCAAACAAAAAAAACAAAGCACAAAGGCAGAACATTTCATAGGTAAGATTACGTTTTTTATGTTTTTGTTTGTTCTAAAATTTGTGCTAATCAGGTAACGTTATTGATGATAATACAGTCACTTATTGCATTCATCATAAGGCAAAGCAGCTCCAACTCGCACTAAACACTCGGCTTATGCTAGTTTTGTTGAATAAAATCAGCAAACAATGCAAAAGAAATATGACAACGAGATGCTGCGCTGCCAGAAACGTGTATTATTGTCAGCTAGTGAACGAGTCGTTCATTACGGAGATTATGAACACCTTCATCTGGGGCCCCCGTCGGGGATCCCTGCAGGGGGGCCTCCGCATTTTGCGCTACACCACTGGCTTCAAATATTAATTGAACACTTGAAAACAAAAGTTTTTAGGTTTTTTTATCTGTATGAAATTAACCAGATAAAGTCTGCCTTGTCTGAGCTGATGAATGACCTCCATTTAAATGCAACTCGCATAACAGCAATCACCTGAACAACCACAAACTTGAGAAAAAAAAAAAAAAGATTGCTGTAATTTTGGGAGGATATTTGGCAACAGGAATAAGTTGGAAATTACTTCAGAAGACTAACGTGAATGGATGTGCCATAGACCTTTTTCACACTTCCTGGTTCCAATAAGCTAAACATCGTCCCACAACATCCGGTTTCAATACGACGGAGCAAGAAAGAATGGCAGGGTCATCTCATCGCTGTGATTGCTGCGTTCCCGGCTGCTCCAACTCAAAAACGACATTCTTACTTTAATGACCACGATCTCCCGAAAGATGAAGGACAGAGAAAATCATGGATGACATTATTAGAGGGGTTGAAGGTCGTTTCAAGTTATATGCGGGAGTACGTTTGTATGCTGTATGCACTTCAAGATTATCATGTTTTATCAAAGACTGGTGGTCTTAGTTTTATTTTGATGAGTAATTATAATATAGACAAAACTCCAGTTAAGCTATCTGCCTTCTACAAACAAGTGCTCATCATGGCCATTCATCTATAAGCATGATTTCTCCCTACATTGTTGTTATTTTGGAATAATAGACAGTTCATACAAACGCAAATCTCTTTTTTTTAATTGGTTTGACAGCAAAATTATTTGTTCAGTCAGTTATATAATAAAGATGCTATACTTTTCTTACCATGAAGTCCTTTGTCATTACAAAATCTCAATAACCCAGCAAGTTTTCTACTGTTATTGGTTCAATTCCTTCAGAGATGTTATTCATTCATGTTATTTAGAGGTATTAATAAGACCATCCTTCTGATGCATCATCTTTTGATATTACTGAATCTTATGTTGGCAAATTTTGTTTTACTAAATACCAAGAGTAATGATAGAGCTATCCATACTCTTTTCCAAAAAGAAATCATTACTGTACCTTATATGCAATTTTATTGGATGCCTTTATTAAAGGGTGAATTAAAGAAAAGTGTGGCTGTTACCATAGAAATATCATGTTAGAAATAGAATTATAGATATATCCTATAAACTTATCCACAGGTTTTATCCAGCAAAACATTGTTTGCAAAAAAATTAAAAGTAAGATTGATGTAAATTGTATTTTTGTAATGAATATGAGGAGACGGTTTACACTTTTTTTGGCATTGTACATAGCTTATAGACCTTTTTCTTGGAACGCAAAATTACCCATTATGCTTTGCGTGTATGCGCAAGGAGAATGCGAAGAACTTCCGGACGGCAGCTGATGCATGTAAACAGTCACATTTGGACAGCTTTGAAACAATCGTTTTAATCTATTTTACCTGCTTTTATCCTCTTTGAACTATTACTGTTGTCCATCAGCACCATCTCCTGGACTGATCATTTAAAGAAATGCGATCTCATAGGATGGAAAACAGCTGCTGTGAGGCGTTTTCCCCTCGTTGTCAGACGGCATCTTCTGCCGTTTAAATTAAGTCTTGTCATTGGTAAAGTCAACATTTTCTCTTTATTTCAAATA